GTTGTAAAGCAGGCATCCGGTATGTTCAAATATTTTTGATGAAAATGTTGTTAATTTCGTGTTTATATTTTACTATTTTGCTTCTTTAACCCTATAGAGGACGAATGAAAATACTACTTTTTGTACAATTTAAAATAATAGCTATGTAAATGTAACAACTTGTATAGGTTGCATTTGATCTAAAACCAGTTATTACGTTCAACATTTGACACTAACAACACTGGTCTGTTATATTCAAGTCTATGTCTGTCTATTATTAAGGGACGGAGTGGTCTAGCGGTAGAGAGCTGGACTGCTACCCCTTAAGCCTCGAGTTCGAATCCGGGTTCAAGTCAGTAGACTGTCCCTAACTCTCGTTAGGGAAAGTAAAGGCGGCTGGCATAGTGTTGACCACACTATTTCTTCATATGTCGAGGTCACAGAAACAAATGAATTCTACTTCACTCGCACCATAGACCGTCGGGTTTGAAAGGGAAACTTTACTTTTTTTTTACTGTCTAACATGTTTAGTTATCAACGTAATAAAGTGTTTAAAATCAAACGTGTTGTTGGGTCTGTATATTTTGAGTGAGGATATTTTTCCTTTACTTACCATGTCCTGTTCAGATGCTACAGTGATTTTCTATTCTTTATCTTAACTAAAATACGACTCAGTTTGTGATCAGAAACCTCAACATCACACTTGCGACGACGATGTTTTATTATAAAAAAAAATTATTTTGTTTTTGTATGCACACAGCAAGCTCTTAGGAATAAAGTGATAAGGAAATATGTTCATAATACATAATACTTTACCAATATTGTTTTCATTAGTAAAATGCTTTGTTGGAAAAATTAAAGTGTTTCATTTTATTAATCTGTAGTACACTTTGCAGGAAAATGTATTTTGGTATCGATTTTAATATGTTACTCGAGCAATGACTTGCACGGTTAGGGGTCGTCCATAAATGACGTCACACTCATAGGGGGAGGGGGGTCCCTAATTTTGTGACGGTGTGTGATGAGGGGGAGGGGGGTTCAGATGGTGCGACGTCACACTTTTGCATTATAAAAAAGCAATGTTAGAAAACGAATTTTAGACGTTATTTCGCGTTTTAGATAACTGTTTTAATAAATTATAATAGGAATTGATCAAAATACTCTATTTTGAATGGGTTCAGACAAACTTTTAGAAAAATATCGATGTTATAAAAAAATTCAACTGCAATTTTGAGGGGGGTTGTAGGCTGAGGTGAGACGTCATTTTAGGGTGGGGGTCTGGCTTTTGTGACGACGTGTGACGGAGGGAAGGGGGGGGGAGGTAAAAATCGTCCAAAAAAAGCGTGACGTCATTTATGGACGACCCCTTAGGTACAAATACTGCGAAATGATTTTGATTTACAACACAGTTGAATAATGAATTTTGTAATATCTTGTTATATGGTTTATGTGTTGTATTTATTATATGTAAATATAATATCTTCCACATTTGTACAAAACAAATAATGTTCTTGCCCTGCGTAAAACATTTGTTCGAGAAAAGAAGCATAAGAAAAAATCATGGGAGGTAACCACTTGCTTAAAATATTTTCACAGGATAACGTCCCCTTATCTAAAAAAAATTAACTATCAATACGAATGTTAAATGTATAAATAAATTTTAAACTTATTGATGTATTTAATCCAAAACCTTATTTTCTCCTTACATCCTCCATACAACAAGCCTACAAAATATTACAAGCCTACCGCATATTACAAATCTATATTTATTAAAAATCTATATTTACAATATCTAAATACTAATAAAATTTTGTGTAGCTTCTTATTTCGCAGAGGCGTATTTTAAAATTTTATTTTAAAATTTTATTTTGATAGCACACCAGGCAATAATGGTATTTACATTTCAAGTCCTGTAAAATGATATCAATGTTTAGAAGGTGAAGTTAACTACTAAACTTTAGGACTTTAGTCTTTATAATTTACTACAATTATGAATGTTTTAATCGAGTGTAATCTACGGAATTTGTTCTCTGGTTTCTATAATAGAGTGAATAACGGTTAAGCCTACGTCTTACAATGATGCATCAAATAGTTTTAGCTGTTTCTTCATTGTCTTTATGTTGCATCTAACTTCTCGGCAAGCAACGTGATTTAAGCAATAAATCAGTACATGGATTTATATATAAACGTCTCTTTAGAGTACAATATGGGAGGGCGTAGAGCGCTAGGCTGCTAAACAGAAAGTCTCGAGTTTGAATCCGGGTCCAAGTCAATTAGAACCTCAGTGAGCATCCAGCTCAGAAGGGCGCCTAATGTTAGGGGAAATAAAGGCGGCTGGGCATTGTGCAGACCACACCTTCCTTTCATATGATGTTGTCAATAAACATATGAACTCTACTTCGTCTGCGCAATGGATCGCTAGGTCTAAAGAGGGTTCTTTATTTTACTAAGGTACAGAGGCGTAGCGACCCTTCCCGGCGCCCGGGGACAAACTTTCGATGATTTGCACCCTCCCCTCAAACTTTCGATTTATACACCCCCCTCAAACTTTCAATTTGTTTTTCCAACCCATTTTTTGTGCCCCCCTAAGGTCGGTGCCCGGGGACATATGTCTCCCCCCCCCCTCTCGCTACGCCTCTGATAAGGTACACCATTGAGCAATATATTTTTCGATAAAGACATATTTAAAAGTCTTATGTTGAGCGGGATTATAATGTCCCATCTCAAACTTTCTGGTTTATGTTGTTTATAGGTCTCCACCAAATAATTATTCATTAGTTTCAGCCATTTAATATCAGGACGTTTGGGTACAGCTTATACACAGCCGATCTATCAGTTTCTGAAGGACAAGTTGCATAACTAGATTTGTTTGGTCAACAGTGTTTCCGTTGTTTAATTGCTGGTACAAAGCTTATTTTATTTTAAGAATATATCTTTGACAAAAGTTTTGTTTTCTTACAATTTTTAAACTATTTATTATCCCAGATAAAAACAATAAAAAAAAAAGTATTGTAATTTAGTTATATTCAGTGCTAATAATACAGTCCTTTATATACAAAAATATTAATCTAGTGTTACAGTAATAGATATGAATGTTATCAATTTCAAACAAGTGAAACGTGGAGGATGTTTGAGATCTGGTATGTCTTCATAGTTACAAAAGCGACTCTATGCAAACCCACCACCACAATTCACCATTTCACAGTAATCTCATCTAGCCTTGGCCAGTGTTAAGCTTAATTATAGAAACTAAATCCACATGTTTATAAACAACATGCTGCATGCAAGTAAATTAGCAAGATGAATTTTCTAGGATGAAGCAGAGGCTACTGATAGACTTTATGGATTGATTAAAATTTTTTCATCACCAATTGTGTGACCCTAAAATAAAAATTCAGCAACAGTGACTGGTAAAAAAAGCAGCCCTTTCATACTGGTGCCTGTAGGGTGGTAATTTTTCATTAACGTAAAAACATCGAAGGGGGGGGGGTATAGTATAGGGGGGTGGGGGGGGGGGCAAAGTTAATATTTCGCCATAGGGGCCATAGTTTGTCAATGCGCCTCCTTTCTGTAGTTACACAAACACGCACCATTGGAGATCAATATAATAGGAATAAACTGAAAAAGAACACAATCTCAGACAGAGAGTTTACAACATGAGTATACATACCCTGGAGTAGAATAAATAGGGAACGATGAGATGGGAATAATGTCACGAAGCGGAATTTTCGAGACAAAAATATAGGAGGCTGGAAATCATTTATTGAGTTCTAAAACACAGTCATAAATCGATGTTTTTAGAGGGAGGCAGAAATAATAAGAATGATCAAAAGATCATGTTTGCATGTATTCTTTAGTACTATAGTTATTAAATAATCAATTCAGATACACAATTTGTTGACGTTTCTAAAAAAATATTTGTTTCTCTTTTTTCTTCTTTCTGAAAAACAAGGTTGATTTTTTAAATTGCTATTAAGTGACACAATTTCTGCTGAGTTATATAGGCAATGATATATATTATACCAGGTTGTTCATGTGAACTAAATTATTAAATTATTAGCTTACATTAACTGTGAAATATTTCAAGAAAAGCTTATTAAAATTGATATTATATATATCTAAATGACAGCTTCTTTAACATAGTTTGAAGGCCAACACTGAATGATGTATAAAAACAATAGAGAAATCAATATTTATAAAGTAATACATGGTAATTTAAATTCTTTTTTTATATTACAAATTGTAAATGTTGTTATCATACATCTCGATTGTTGTTAAAACGTCCATTCATACCGATACATGATTGACTAAAGATTTTTTTTAAAATAGTATTATATTTGTTTCATACATACAAAATGTGTTTATAAAATAATTGCTTGCCCAGTGCAAAATATAGCATATATGAAAACTGAAATATCAGATCACATTGAAGGTAAAGATAGTTAAACATTGTAACTCTTTACAAGAGGGCAGCAATTTTGAAATTATTAATGAACATACGCGATCTCAAAATACATTTTTTGACAAGTTACATAATTAAAAGAAAAAGAAAAAACTTCCTAGATTACCAATACAAGACATAAAATAGAAAAATTGAATATTAGTGCAATTTATTGTGATTTGTTTCAATTTAGTAGGCTACAAGTTTGATTTTTACAGAATTAAAAAAAATACTTCCTCTCTAAAAAATGACAAGACATAAAAGCAAATTGAATATTAGTGCAATTTATTGTAATTTATTTCAATTTAGTCGGCTACAAATTTGATTTTTAGAAAACCCACAACCAGACAGAAATGTGCTAAAATAAAGTAATTATACCGTTTATTGGCATATTAAATCAATCATAAAAACAGTACATCTTTTGACTTTTTAAGCATGTATCATACACGCATTAAAGGAATTGAACTGTCTTACATTTGTATACACGGTTTTTAGATAACTTTAAAACACATAAAAGTATACATTCATATAATTCAGAATCTTTTGATCATTAGGTATTAAGTTTTCTCACAATCCATTTAAAAATATTTTTATGTTTTCAATATCTTAAAATGCGCTTATTATTTGACTACGACATGTAGTTGCATTAAAAAGTGCTACTATTGATTACGTACTGAATTATTGAATTTAAAAAAATATGTACAGAAACGTAATTGAGTTATAATAACCAATTACTTATAAACCCTTGATATATGAATAATAATAATTAATAAACTCATGTTATCTCACAGTAACAATCATAGTATAACCCTTGATTTGGTTTTACCATTGTGTTTGCTCCCTTAAAATATGCAAACACTTTTTCTTAGAATGAAATTTTAAAATCGAAAAATATATCCCTGAAGTTTTTAGCCGGCAGGCATTCAATCTGCGGGTAAAAATAATATCCTTGGGTCAATAATAAATGAGTTTATAATCATATTATATAATTTACATTTAGTAAAGTTTCATATAATTATAGGTATAATCTATAGTTAAATTAACTTTTTTTTTAAAAAAACAACAACTAACATTACATTATAAATATGCAAATAACCTACTGTAATTGCTTTTTTCGTATTTTTAAAATTCTAGAATATATAAAATTCACATTATTTTTCCAATTTGAAATACGTTTCAAGGATTTGAATTATACATACCGTAAGTGTATGCCAATTTAAATCCCCAATAATTATATGCTCCTTGAAAATGGATTATCAAATACAGGTTGCTGGTAAAGTTCATCACTTTAGGGACAACTAAATCGCAATATTGTTGAAGCACTGGATCATTTTTTGACGTACCGTTTATAAATGTCAAAAAACTATACGAGCAGTTCTGAGATGATTCGAATACAACATCTAAAACCCTGTATTAAAATGAAAAAAACAGCAATATGTTATATTATGATAATTAAAGTTTGTGAACACAAATAAATATTATTTTTTATGATTTTAGACATTGGCTAGAGATTACAGAGGGAACAAAGCGTATTATTAAAAGCTTAAACACAATACTTAATATTTTTTTTAAAAAAGCATGATTTTCTAGAAAATGGTTTTCACATTGTAAACGATTTATGTACCTTGATCTAAGAAGAAACAAAAGAAAATTAGTTCGTCTATGAAAGTCAATAGCGTCTAAAACTAATTATATTTATAAATTTCAAGTATCGAAAAATATGTATTGGCATCTAGGGTAGATTTTCTTATGAGACATTTTAAAATCACTCTACCAAGGTGTATCTATTTTTATTTATAATGAAAAAAAAAACATATTTCAGTCGAATTTTAATTAAAGCTGGAAACTACTTAAAATTGTAGAAATGTAGGCATACCTAATGGTTGTTACCATTTGAGGTTTAGCCGGAATAGTCCAAGCGCATTCAAAGTTACTCTTGCCACTGATAGGGTAGATTGGACCAGTTATAAGACCTGTATTCCCGGTTACCGCCGTGTTACAGGGAATGTAGTTTGCTGCAAGACAAACATAGCTATATACAAATTTTAAAAACAATAAGAATAGCTATACACAATTGTATACAGTAATACAAATATAAAACAGGCTTTTGACAAATATTAAAACAATAAAATAGCTTTAAAAAATTGTAAAAAAATTAATACAAATAAAAAAACGATTTTTGATAAAGATTAAAACTATAAACATAGTTACACAATTGTATACATCAATACAAATACAAAACAAATATTAAAACTATTGGTCTTAAAATGTAAATGAAAGTTTACTCACCTTTACATTTAGTGGAATCTGCAGGGTCAATAATGAATCCAGGTTGTGGGCAAGAGCATGTTGAATTGCCTGTTGTTAGCGAGTTTTTCTCCTGATATGGTCCGGTGGGAACCTTGCATTGATTCATTTCTGGAAAATGGTGCAAAAAAAATAGAAATACTATTCATCTACAAAGAGTTTAAAAAAAAAACAGTTTACACCTTTATTTCGATTTCCTCATAATACAATATAAACACAATATAAATGCTTATCTTTGTGTTTGTATTGATTAATTATTCTCTTAAACATCCTAACTGTGCGTAATTAGAATGACGTATAAAACGTGGTTGATAGATAGACATGATAAATTAAAATAGCAACTGCAGTACGGTTTATGAAAATAGTAACAATAAATGTAGTGTTAGTACCCTCAACTTTTATACAAAATTATAGTTACAACGAACTTGTCAACATCGATAACAAGGTTTAAGAAAATGTATGATTTATTCATTCTTAAGGGGGAAGGCTCCGGTAAAAAAAAACTTTTTTAATACTCTCTAGAAAACAGTTATTTCTTTACAGCTTTATTAAGATACATCCGCTTATGCATTTCCACTAAAAAAAAATTGGTGGAAAAATCTTGGTAACTATGACAAGGGCGGCCATCTTGAAAAATTAACCCCTTCGTAGGTTTTCCACCATTCATAAAATATTACACTTTAAGCCCAATAAACAATCAATTCATAATATCCTTCCATATTTTGGGGTAATCAGCTAAAAATTTTAAGTGCATATCTTCAAACTAATTTTTTATGAATTTTCAAAATTTGTGTCCGTTCAAAACACTTAACTTTGGGGAATTTTGGGGCATTAAAACTAGTGTGTTGAACGGACACAAATTTTAAAAATTCATAAAAAATTAGTTTGAAGATATACACTTAAAATTTTTAGCTGATTACCCCAAAATATGGAAGAAGATTATGAATTGATTGTTTATTGGGATTAAAATGTAATATTTTGTGAATGGTGGAAAACCTACGAAGGGGTTAATTTTTCAAGATGGCCGTCGTTGTCATAGTTACCAAGATTTTTTCAAAATTTTTTTTTAGTGGAAAAGCATATGCGGATGTATCTTAATAAAGCTGTAAAGAAATAACTGTTTTCTAACAAGTATTAAAAAAGTTTTTTTTACCGGAGCCTTCCCCCTTAATGATGCATACTTTCTTTCAGAGAAAATGATAATAAACATAAATTTAAAAACGTTTATATGCCTCTATATGAGCCTTCTTAAAATGCTACAAATAAATAACTTCGTATTTTTTAAAATTCAGATATTTTTAAAAATTCAGATATCCTAGGACATATTAGTTATATATTATATTTATAATTTAACGATTAGGTTAATACTAACCGTAGGTGTATACTGCTTTAAACCCACGCATGTTCGTCAGGTTATTTGAATGGAAAACTACATAGAGATTGCCTGTAAACCGGATCGAATCAGGGAAGGCTACATCACAATAAACTTGAAGCAGTGGATCACTTTCTGATGTCCCGTTGAATATCTTTACATAATCTGCATTACAATTCGGTGATGCTTGTAATTCAAAGTCTTGAAATCTAGAAAGAAGGATACGCGTATATAAGATAATAACTATTACAATGTTGTAACATACAACAAAAGGTATTTATATTTATTCTGGATGTTTTTTTTAAATAATAAAGAATTACAATAACTAAACTTTGTGAAATGAAATGATAATATGCAACAAATACACTTAGACGATCCATGAAATGCATATGGCTGAGCTATTACAGTGAAATGTACTTACGTAATAATTGTAACCATTTCAGGTTTAGCCGGTATAATCCAAGAACAATCTGAAAAACCTGGGTAGTACTGTGGGTAGTTAGGGCTAGTTATAAAACCGGTTGTATCTCTTACTGCTGCGCCACAGGGTATGTAATTAGCTGAAAGAATAAAATGTCAACAGATGCTTGTAAGTTACGTGCGTAACAAGCATGAGACAGTGAGCTCTAAGGGTAGAGCAACCGACTACTGAACATTTCGAGTTAACATCCCTGAGGTCACTGAGTCCACCCAGCTATGGTGTGTACCTGACTAGCGTTAGGATAATCAAAGGCCACGCTATCTCCTCATGACCCTTGAGTCAGGATGCTCACCTTCACCTGCCAACTTGATGTAAGGTTCTTCTCCTATTCTTCATTCTTGATATTTTTATATTGGAAATAATTTTAGTGTTGGAAGGCATTCCCTCCAACGCGATTAAGCATAGGTGTCAACTGGTTATGCGCCACTGAGGCTATTGACTCCGATTTCAGCCTGCTATTTATTTTGAAGTTGCTTCCATAGCCTTTGTCCAACCAAGAACAAAAAACAAGGCGGCAGTTGTTTGATTTTGAAATTTTCTCTCATAGTAGAGTTGCTATCCCCAACTAACGAACCCCGACTGCCAGGGATGTAAGGTTCAAAATGGTACTTAAATTTAATTACACAGTAATTAGGACTACACGGAAGTAACTTTAACTCACATTTGTTCAACGACTTAAGTTATCGAATAGCCATTGTATTCACTCACCTTTACATCTAGTTGAATCTACGCTATCAATGATGTACCCAGGTTCTTGACATGAGCATGTGGTGTTTCCAAGCGTACTTGTGCATGTCCGATGGCATGGATTGACAGCGTTGTCGCATTCATTATTTTCTGTAAAAAATGCGTGAGAAAAAAATAACGTTAGTCTATTACATTCCTATTTCTTTATCCTTATTGGTATCTCTATATACGCTGCTAGAATGTTTTACGTAGATTTCATGGTTCAAAACACTCAAATACGTATACGCAGCGAGAGAGAGGGGTGACACCATTTAGGAGGGGTGACACCAAGCCAAAAAATTGCTAAATATATATATAAGAAAAATGATTATATCAGTTCAATTAATGAATCATTGGAGTTTAAAAGCCATTGAAGTGCAAAGTGAATATTCCGACAGTGTGGAAGAGGGTGACACCATGACGTAAACTTGCTCACTATATAAATAAATAAATAAATAAATAAATAAATAAATAAATAAATAAATAAATAAATAAATAAATAAATAAATAAATAAATAAATAAATATATATATATATATATATATATATATATATATATATATATATATATATATATATATATATATATATATATATATATATATACTTTTTTGGTGAATGGGGGGTTGGGACCATAAGTGCCGCACCGGGTGACACTCGACCTAGTTACGCCACTACGTAAACGTTTACTTATATCTACCTACATATCTATGTATTCCTTACTATAATTTTTTCTCTTTTTAACACGTTTTTATTAACTCAGCTTCGCGTGGATGTGTTTGTTGTTAAAATTGACATCGAAAATTAGCCCACTTCTGATTGCTCTATAGATCTGAAATTTGGCATGCAGGTTACTTTCGCCTAACAATTTCAGATGCAATCATAAAAACTAGCAATTAGAGACCGTAATTAGCTTAATTTAATTACGCCCAAAGGACCATAAAATTGAGGACATGATTTCTAAAGATACCGACAAGACTGGAGGCTTGTTGACACAGTTACTTCGGCCCCAATCGATGTGAGCGCGCTGGCCGTGATCGTATAGTGGTTAGTACTTCGCGTTGTGGCCGCGACAACCCAGGTTCGAATCCTGGTCGCTCAAGATTTTTTTAGTCCGTGTATTTATAAACACTTAGTCAATTCATACTTAATCAAGTCATTAGATAAAGTAGAAAATAAACTATATAAAAAACTTTTTTAAAAACCACGTTTTTCATGTGTAGCAAAGGACTAAAAAGGAGAAAATAAAATACTTAAAAAAAACTTTTTAAAAAACCACGTTTTTCTTGTGGACTAAAAAGTAGAAAATAACTATTTACATACATTTGATGACAAAAAACGTGGGTCGGGCAGATGGGTCGGGAAATTTGATGGTGAACGTACCCACGTTTTTTGTCATCAAATGTATGTAAATAGTTATTTTCTACTTTTTAGTCCACAAGAAAAACGTGTTTTTTTAAAAAGTTTTTTTTAAGTATTTTATTCTTCTTATACATAATGTATACATTGGGATTAGTATAATACTTAAGGTAATAAAAAATCTCCGGTTATTTCCCCCTACCCTAATTATTATTACCACTACTACCCAGTAGTATCATTTTTCTTTTGAAGTGATTATTGCGCGAATTATTTATGCATCTTTGAAGATTTTTGAGAACGTTCCTGATACTATATGTTCAAATAGGAACGGTTTAGGAATATGATGGGCGTGTGGATTGCCTGTTGGCTTGTTTTTGCGATATAAGCACAGTATTAATATCATACATAATAACATACATAATATCATACAAAATGATCGTGCAATGATAAGCTACAAATTAACATATATATCGATACTTCTAAATTCATTATCAGGGTTGTTGTTTTTAAATTTAATAGTGTTTGATAGTTAATATTAACATTGTTTGCACTCCTGTTAGATAGAGGAAGGTGATCTAGCAATACTATCTGTATAGCACCAAATTTAGTGGGTTTTTGTATGAGCCTAGTTATGCGATTTGTCCATCTCTCCATAAAAAACCCTCAACTTACGTCGATAATGTCCTTAATTTGTTTCTTTTTACAAAAATTTGAAAACTTTCAAAATGTTATACCATATGTTGACATTGATTGCATTTTAGCAAGAACATATTTAGCTCCTCTTCACGATCATGCCCTTTATTGTACTACTACCGTTTATATATATAAAATTTATTCTCAAATACGATTGGTCAAAATAATTTGGTCAACATTAGTGCATACTTATAATACAATTTCGACATTATAGTCAAACTATAAGGAAGATAATACGAGAAAGAAAAAACACGACAATATTAAATGTACAAAAAAGCTCATTACACACGAACAGATTGATAGTTATACAACACTGTCAGAAGGACTAAATAACAGACATTAATCAGGCAAGTAAGTTCGAGTACCAGCTGGCTGAATGTCTAGCTAAACGTTTGACCGACTGAATGATGGAGAGACTTCATGTCACGCTGACTGAAATAATGTATTGTTTGGCTGAGCATTTATCAACTTTTTATTATGCAACGATTCAATGCGTACTCACCATAACTATAAAATAGTTGAAATCCTTGAGTGACTCTCTCGAGATCAGAGCGAAACACTAAATACAGGTCGTTGTTAGAGCTGATGGGGTCAGGTGTGTAAGAACCACAGTAACGCTGAAGCAGTGGGGCGGTATCCGAGGACCCATTATAGACTTTAAGGTAATCATACTGGCAGCTTTCATCAGTTTCTATTTTCAAATCTAAAAACCTGGATAAAAAAGTCAACAAATAAAATTTTCTAATGCTGACCATTATTTTTTAAAGTAAGTTAAAGTTTATTAAGTTAGAGGTTAAGTACTAAAAGAGGAGCTCGAAGTAAAATAATGTTAAGAAAGTATGGATTAAATTTTAATGTATTCTTATGTACCATAACATACAGCCATTAATGTTATAATAATTCTACGTCGCACTGCCTATATAAACTTTACATAAAAAATGTGTATATTTTTTGCTTGCAAAAGCTAAAATTCTTTGTAAACTAAATACACATTTAAATTCGGCTATGTACAATTGACAGGCAGTTATTGAAAAAATAAAATCTTTGAAATTAATGTAATTTCTGAAAATAATAATGGATTTGGAAGGGAAATATTGTTATAACAAATTGCTTGGTGAAAGGGGTAGATTTACAAGCCAAAAGAAATTGTATTAGCACTGATGAAAGACATAGACCTACTATTTTTTCTAGATCTCGCTAATTTTTTTAAAATTATCAAACATTCCATTATCATACAGTTGTCATTAATTTAAATACAACATTGTTTTTTTTTTGCTGGTAAAAAATGTTGAAATATGTGAGTGGTATAGTTGCATACAAAATAAAGTTTTAAGTGAGTTTCAAGATGTATGATTGGGATACTGTTTACTAACAGAAATACCAATATAGACATACATTATTTATACAATGCCGAATGTAGACACAGTTAGACGAGGATAACGGGTAGTCTAGTTTACTTCTAAAACCGACAGAACATTTTAACCAGACATGGACCGAAACCCACCACTCCACACTGTGTTCAGTATCGTCCACTAACATGGCCTAAGAATGTTTCCCTATATGTAAGTCAAACTTAATAATTTGTTTTGGACGAATGCTGATTGTGATAGTATTATTTATTTAGCTAGCAATATTTCAAACACGCATATATGATTCTACAAGATCATTAATTAGACACAGCCATTAACTTACTTCACGAATGTGTAATTAACTCTGAATATCTACAGTCTCATTTGTTGTGGAAATTGAAAAAAAAATCTTACTTGATTTTCTTTCATATTTTGTTTAACAATTTCGAATTGCAATTTTAAAAATTGTTGTACAAACAATTTCAATTGTTAAGATCATAAACGAATTTGTTTTTAAAAATCAGTACGTACGTGATAGTTGTAACTTTTTTAGGTACTGAAGGTATTCTCCAAAAGCAAGTGGACGATGCTGGATATGTATGTGGGTAGTTTGGGCTAGTTATCATACCCCATTTTTCTGTAGCGTTTGAGTTACAGGGAACATAGTATGCTGCAAGAGAAAAGATATATATTACTTAATACATGAATTGAGAATGCATTGAAAATATGCAGCTGCCAAAACAACAGCAGAAGAAAAACATCGGATATTTAGGTTTATCTCACCTTTACATGTTTTATTATCTGTTCTATCAAGGATAAATCCAGGTTGTGGACAAGAACATGCGTAGCTTCCAGGTGTGTTTTCACATATTTGCTGGCCTGGGCATGTGATGTTTTTGCATTCATTAATGTCTGGAAAAGAATTTATAAAAAACATGTCGTAAACTTTAGACTAACAAAATAGTTACTTGTAGAATACATTAGTGATTTACTATTTTATGATTGAAGTATGATCCGGAGAGATAAAATGCCTGGTGTTTTATAATAGCGTTACAAAGAAATTTGTGTTTGGATTCTTTCAGAAAGACATATCAGCAGATCCACGGGACGACTAGAATTCTACCCGAGGGTCTTGAGTCCGTTTTTAAATCAGTGGTGCGTCCCTGAGCCCACCAACTTTGATGGGTACCTAACTTAAGTTAGGGAAACAAAGCGGCTGGGCATAGTGCTGACCACAGAAATTTTTCACTATTTAGCAGAGGTTTTACAACTATTGCCTATAACGCCTAATGAATAAAACATTGTCACATATCTTGTAATTTTGTACATGGTCGTTATAATACAACTGCATTATAAAGAGTAAAAAATTATATATTTTTTTTGCTGTCACTGTAAAATAACTAAAAACACAAATTACATTAACGAAAATGTAAACTAAAAGAATAATGTTGACATTCAACATCGTAAATTTGGCGAAAGTTTTATCTAATGTCTCTATTTTTAATTAAACCTGAAATTTATAAACTTCAATTGGCTTTAAAATTCTCTTAATAAATTAAGAATTTGCTCTAATTATTTTTAAAACATCTAAAAAATTTTTTTTATATTTAATTGTCTATTTTTGTAATTTCCATAAACAAAAACTTACCATCACATTTCGTTGGGTCGGTTTTATTAATGGTGTAGCCAGATCTACAAGAGCAGTTAAAACTACCAGGAGTATTGGTACACAACTGTTCACACACAGGGTTGGTTGTAAAGGCACATTCGTTGGTTTCTGTAAAAAAAGGTAACATATTTTGTAAAATGTTAATATATTCATTATCTTTAAAAGAATGTTTTAGTATTTTACATGTTATTAATCAAATATTATTTTAATTTATCAAATTCGGATAAATTATGGTATTTAATCAGTCTTAATACGAGGAAATACTAATTTAGAAACATAGTTATTATAGTTTTGGTTTTAAAAATTAAATATTTTAAACCGTAATTGATCTTTCACATTATAATTTAAAGGTAAATCATTTACTATAGTTTGTAATGCAACCGTAAAATACAAATATTAGTTCTCTTTTTTTAATAGTAATAGCAGAATTGATTATTATAAACTAACCATCACATTTCGTTGGATTAATTGTGTTAATGGTGTAGCCCGTTCTACAAGAGCATTGAAAACTACCAGGAGTATTGGTACAGTTCTGTTCACACACAGGGTTGGTTGTATTAGCACATTCGTTAATTTCTGAAATGGATTACACATTTTGTGAAAAATAAAGTTGTCAAATACACTGATTTTTTAAAACTGTTAAAGTGTGTATTTTTATTTTTTAAAAATCTAAAACTGACCATCACATTTTGATGTGTCTATTTTATTAATTGTGTAGCCGTTTCTACAAAAGCATAGAAAACTCCCTGGAGTATTGGTACAGTTCTGTGCACACACAGGATTGGTTGTATTAGCACATTCGTCAATTTCTGAAAAAAAAAACGTTTTATATTTCGTAAAATCAATTTTATTACATTGTAGAAAAACAAAACTAAAAACTGAATGTATCTTACTTTTTAAACAGAGGCATAATTTTATCCTTTTAATTATCATTTTTTATATCATAACAATATAGGCAACTTTTATTAACAATTAAAAAAATCATTAATAGCTAATTAATTTTAGTGATTTCAAATGTAAATATTATTTTGTGCTGATTTTTTCCTTAAGTAATTTTTAATAAACAAATACTAACCATCACATTTTGTAGGGTCTGTCTCACTCAAGGAGTAGCCGTTTCTGCAAGAGCATCGGAAACTTCCAAGAGTGTTGCTACACATTTGATCGCACACAGGGAAAGTTGTGAAAGCACATTCATTGATGTCTGAAAAAATATACATTTGAAAACTGAGTTATCACGTTAAAAAACGTATATATGAGCTTCGAATTGTTCTTTAAACACATGCTTTAAAGGCGAAACTTAAATTGTGTTTTAACTAATTTTTAGAAGGTTTTTATAAGGGAATGCACTTTAATTTAACAAACACAAAGACTAATATTTTTGCAATTATTTTATTTTCAAAGAAACAACATTAATTTTATTTCATCAGCTACATTTTAAATATATCTAAGTGTATCAATTATTAAGTTTACTTAAACAAATACTAACCATCACACCGAGTTGGATCTAATAAATTGATGTTGTAGCCCAATCTACAGGAGCATCGAAAACTCCCGATTGTATTGGTACATTCATGTTCACACAGAGGGTTGGTTAAGTTACCACATTCGTTGATATCTGAAATTTATTTATATACTTTATTAAACGATGTATTAGGTTGTAAAATAATATTAAAATTTAATATTCATATCATATTTCTTTCAAATATGAACTGTTTATTTTTGTTGTTAAAGTGTATAATTGTACTTTCTAAAACAAAAACTGACCATCACATTTCGCTGTGTCTGTTTTATTAATGCTGTAGCCTTTTCTACAAGAGCACTGAAAACTACCAGGAGTATTGGTACAGATTTGCTCACACACAGGGTAGGTTGTATTAGCACATTCGTTAATTTCTGAAATAGTTTATATATTTCGTAAAAGCTATCTCAACACTAGAAAAACTAACATAAAATTATGATGTATCTTTTATATATATATATATCTTTTATATATATCTTATATATATATATATATATATATATATATATATATATATATATATATATATATATATATATATATATATATATATATATATATAATATAATATAAAGCTCAATTCTGTATTTTTGTAATAAGTTTGTCGTTAACATACTTTGATGGATTTAAGTGTTAGATTATTATCGTGCTCATAGTCTACATTTATGAGTTAAAAAATTACTATTGAAAGTGTTGGGAAATAATTTTCATTTTTCAAACTGATAGTAATAATTGTCGGCATGTTCATTAAACACAATTTAAAAACAAAAATATCATCTTTTACAAAAACTCTAATTATGTCTGAAAATTATTTATATTTAGTCCTTTAGCACTTACTTCCCTTTGATAAATTAGGAAAACACAATTACTTCCCTTTATAAAACATTGCATTAGTGGAAATTTACTTTGTATTACTTTGTTTTGGTGTTGGGAAAAAATAATTACATAATTAGCGTGGATTGATCAAATGCAAATGTTGTAGGTATTTTACGGATAAGCTTGGAGTATTATAATTGTTTATTTGGTTTGGTTTGGCACCTACGTTCGTTTAAGTGAGTGCAAAAGACTATGAATAAGTTGGGGTACTATAGTCTTTTATTAAGCTGAAACAGGCGATTCTGCCCCGGGCTAGACTGTGAGCACTTTGCGTTTATGTTCGCGTTTGTGTTTTCTTTGTGTTTAGGTTGGGTTTGCGTTAGTGGTTGCGTTTTGATTTGGTTCATATTTGTTCTTTTTTTTTCGTTTTAGTGTTTTTTTCTTTGGGTTTGTATTTGTGTTTGTGGTTGGTTTTGCGTTTGGATTTGGTTTGTTTTCGTTTGCTTTTTCATTTGTGTTTTTTCTTTGGGTTTGTGTTTGTGGTTGGTTTTGCGTTTGGATTTGTTGTTTTTTTCGTTTGCTTTTTCGGTTTTTTTTCTTTGTGTTCGTATTGGTGTTTGTGGTTGTGGTTGGGTTTGTTGTTAGGTTTTTGTTTTCGTTTGCTTTTTTGTTTGTTTTTTCTTTGTGTTTGTATTGGTGTTTGTGGTTGTGGTTTGCTTTGTTGTTAGGTTTTTGTTTTCGTTTGTATTTGTAATTGTGTTAGCGTTATGTTTGAGTTTTGTTGTTTAGGTTTTGGTTGGTTGTGGTTTGGGTGGGCAATGCCTGGGTTATGATGATTAATAAACACACAGGTAATGGTCTTTAACAGAAAGGTTTTTCAGAGAAGCCAGAGCAGGCTAGTATATATATATATATATATATATATATATATATATATATATATATATATATATATATATATATATATATATATATATATATATATGTATATATATATATATATATATATATATATATATATATATATATATATATATATATATGTTAAAAATATAAAGAATTTTAATTTAATTACACAATCTGTAACTTGTTTTGACAATAAAAGTTTTTTTTTATATAATAAATAAATTACTTTAAATATTTCTTTTGTAACGATAGTCTATTTTGTTTTTTTTCCGTTAGTAATTTTACATAAACAAATACTAACCGTCACATTTTGTGGGGTCTATTTTATTAATAGTGTAGCCGGTTCTACAAGAACATCGGAAACTCCCAGGAGTGTTGCTACAGGTTTGTTGACACACAGGGTTTATTGTGTTAGCACATTCATTGATGTCTAAAAAGAAACAAATGTTTAAAAACTTTTTTTTTTTTTCAAATTCGAAAAACAGCTTAAATGATTAAATGTTACATCCTTCTTCTTCTTCTTCGTTCTTAATTATTAGTGTTGAAGGGGATCGAGATTTATCTGCCAGTGGGTTTGAACTCGAGACTGTTCGAATGTATCAACCATGAGCTTTTTGCCGACTCGACCACGCCTCCAACACAATTAAGCGTTACGTGTCAACTGGTTTTGCGCCATTGAGGCCATTGACTCCGATTTCAGCCTGCTTTTCTTTTTGGATTTGCTTCCATAGCCTTTGTCCAACCAAG